TTTTTTTTTTTAATCTCTCCAATATGGTGAACGTTTGTTGTAGAATGACTGTCATTTTGCATCATTTGTGAAATTTTAACACTTTACTGCCTCCCGTCTAGTATTAGTGGAGAAGTTGATATGTGATAAATTACATGATTGGTCAAATGTTACTGATTTCCTTTTCACAGGTAAAGATTCATGCACTAGAAGGATACAGAGGCCAAAGAGTAAAGGTGTTTGGCTGGGTCCACAGGCTGCGTAGACAAGGTAAATAAATGGTATAGCTTTTCTTTTCTCTCTCTTTAATTTTAAACATCCCTGGTCTAGATGAAGAAGAACATAAAAACATTTACTTAGGTGGGGGATATTTTTGGTTTGGGATGCTAGTTTACAAGAGAGGATAGTGAATTATATCCTAAATTTGTTCTTAAATGCCTATTACAGGTTTAAAAATTATTTAGTATATGTGCTGCTGAAGCGAGCACAGGTTTAAAAATTATTTAAATGCTACCTAACTGTAACCAACCACAGAGATCAGCAGGCATGTCCAGTAAATATTTGTCTAGTTGAATTTAATTATTTAATGAAAAGCAGAGGATGTATTACAGGAAGGGCAGAGCCAAATCTGAAATTAATTTATGGCAGTATTGTTGGCTTTTATAATGAGTGTGTGTTTGCATTCTACTTCTCCCAGTCCTGACTTTTTGCTTTCTCTTATTATTACGTGTATTTTATTGTAAGTAGTTATTACATCCTTTATAAAAAGAGATGGGGCATAAATCAAGAGTGATTCTGTGCAGCAATATTTATGCACCTCTCGCTGAGTGCACAGTATTGTGCTAGGCACTGCAGAGGATTCAGTGGTGAGTGAGATGTAATCCCTCGACTCACGTTGTTGACGGTCTTGCTTTCCCCTGATCACGTGGCTCATGAGGCTCACATAGGATTTGGAAGTACAGTGAAGAAGGTGAAATGCTTTACAGATACTGAGTAGCGATGTTTCCGATGGCCACTTGAGAAAAAGGGAGCCACGCGGGAGGTTTGAACTCTTAACAATTTAACCATGGAGTTACCTATTACAAGATTAAGTTATGAGAAAGTACTTTTAAGTGCCTTGAGAACAGTCGGGCTAAATTTTTCTTTCTCATTTTTAGGAAAGAATTTAATATTTCTGGTGTTGCGGGATGGTACAGGCTATCTTCAGTGTGTCTTGTCAGATGATTTGGTAAATATTTTTTCTTATTTGTAGCTGAAAACTTGATTTTTTTTTTCAGTAAGTTCCTTTATTGTTAGTTTTGGGAATTTTAGGGTCTTTATATTTACTTTAAACTGTCATAGAAAATTTCCAACACATAAAAAATAGAACAGTACAGTTGACCATTGAACAACATGGGTTTGAACTGCATGGGTCTGCTTGTGTCTGGATTTTTTTTACAGTACTGAGTGAATTTTCTCTTCTTTATGACTTAATAACATTTTCTTCTTTCTACCTTATTTTAAGAATACAGTATAATACACATAACATATAAAATATATGTTAATTGACCTTATGTCATTGGCAAGGCTTCTGGCCAACAGTAGGCTCGTTATTAAGTTGTGGGAGAATCAAGTTATATGTGGATTTTAGACAATGCAGGGCGTCAGCACCCCTAATCCTCGAATTATTCAAGGTTAGCTGTATAAAGAAACTTCATGTGCTCATCACCCAGCTTTGGCAAGGTCAGTTTTAGCTGCTGTCATAAGATACCATAGACTGGGTGGCTTATAAACAACAGGAATTTCTCTCCCACAGTTCTACAGGCTGGAAGTCGAGCTCAGGATGTCAGCATTGTCATGTTCTGGTGAGGGCCCTCTTCCAGGCTGCACACTGCCAGCTTCCTAGGGCATCCTCATGTGGCAGAGAGCAGAGACGGGGAGCAAACCCTCATCTGAGCCTATTCACCTGTCCAAGGGCCCACTTCCTCGTACCAGCAAATTGGGACATAGGATTTCAACATAGGAATTTTGGAGGGACAAAAACATTAAGTCTCTAACAAGTAATGGCTAATAATATGGCCAATTCTGGTTTACTGCTCGCCACTTTTGCCCCCTAGACATCGTATCATTTCATATAAATATACTTGTATATACATCTCCAAGAAAAAATATTTTTAATATAACCACGCTAATGTTAACCACACCCTCCCCAAACAAAGGAAACTCCTAAATATCCAGTCAGATTCTCCCAATTGATTCATAATGTCTTTTTACAGTTGTTTGGTTTGAATGAGAACCCAGACAAGATCTATGTATTGCATTGAGCTGATGTGGCTCTGAAATCTCTCTCAGTCTGTAACTGTTCGCCCTTTCTATTGTCTTTTCTACCCCGTTTGTTTAAAAAAACCTGGTTGGTTGTCCAGTGGAACTCCTCTGTTCCCGGTTTGGCTGGTTGCATTCTCAGGGGTCATTTAATGTATTTCTCTCCTCTGTATTTCTTACAAGCTTATCAAATTCAGGTTTTGGGGTTTTTTTCATTTTGTTTGACTTTTTTTTTTTTTGGCACAACTACTTCATGGGCAAGGCTGTGCGCTTATCATTGCCTCACATCAAAGACACATAATGTCCTCTTGTCTTTTTTTATGATTTTGTGATAGTGGGTTAAAGTGTTGCTAGCCTGATCCCTCCATTATAAAGTTACCTGTCACTTTTATCCTAATGGTTTTAGCAAGTATTGATGATCATAGTCCAGGTAGACGGTTTATTATTTTAACAGTGTGAATTTAAAAAAAAATAAAATGTGCTGTTCAGATATTTTTAAGAGGGTGCCTGGTGGGGCGCCTGGGTGGCTCAGTTGGTTAAGCGACCGCCTTCGGCTCAGGTCATGATCCTGGAGTTCCAGGATCAAGTCCCGCCTCGGGCTCCCTGCTCAGCGGGGAGTCTGCTTCTCCCTCTGACCCTCCCTTCTCTCATGTGCGCTCTTCGCTCTCTCTCTCTCTCATTCTCTCTCGCAAATAAATAAAATCTTAAAAAAAAAAAAAAATTTAAAAAAAAAAAAAAGAGGGTGCCTGGTGGCTCAGATGGTTAAGTGTCTCCCTTCGGCTCAGGTCATGATCCTGGGGTCCTGGGATCAAGTCCCGCATCGGGCTTCCTGCTCCTTGGGGAGCCTGCTTCTCCCTCTGCCCCTTTCTCTCTCATGAATAAATAAATAAAATTTAAAAAAAAAGATATTTTTAGATGTGGGCTACTGTTGTTTATGCATATGTATATATGTAAAATATCTATTTACATACACATTTCTCTGTAGATGAATCCTCCCACAAAAATAGCTATTCTTTATGAATACTAAAAAATTGATGGCCATCTCATTTTACTAGTTTTAGACCAGGTAACTTATATGTAAGTAATCCGTGTAGCTTTCTGTACATCAGAACATACATTTTAATGTAAATAAATTTGAACTTCCATTTTTTTATAGTGTCAGTGTTACAATGGAGTCGTCTTGGCCACTGAGAGTAGTGTTGCGGTGTATGGAATGCTAAATCTGACTCCAAAGGGCAAACAGGTGAGTAGACTGAATTTTGTACTGGGTGGGTAAATGTTTGTTTGTTCTCCAGTGTTTTTATTTGTACTTTTGGTATTTGGCAAATTAATGCACAGATGTGATGTACTTGCTGAATTTAGAATGCCTTTTCTTTTTCCAGTGAAATAAGTATACTGTACGACTCATATGATACAACAAACTCAGGGATTTCCAACCTTATAAATAATCTTGATGGGCCATAGTATAGTCACTTTGCTGTAGATGTATGGATAGTTTTTCCGCCAGGTAGAAATAAAAACAGTCTACCCAAAAAAATTCAGGAGAGAACAGTAATCTAAACCTGAAACTTTCTGAATAGAATTTGGAAGTTTCTTTTAGAAAAAGTTAAATATAATTCTGATATTCAGAGAGTTGTTTTTTCTCCAACCAACAGGCACATAAGAGTTACTTGTTCGTAATTACTTTTCAGATAATTACTGTGGTTATATTTGTTGCCTTGGAAAGAAAACAAACAAATGTGACCTATTAACCACCAGAGGGAGCCCCTAGAGTCTGCCTTAATAGACTAGAAATAATCAGAGGGTCTCCCAGAGTTCATGTTAAAGAACCTACATTAAGCATAATATCTGATTCAAGTTCACTGATGTAATGTGATTTGCAAAACGGATTTGTCATGACATGTTACTTGCTATCCAGGGTTTGGCACCAAGATCTTGTATGTTCTGTGATGTGTGGCTTCTAAAATGAATTGCTTTTAATGGAATTATTAGGGAGAATTTGAATTTCTATCATATATCTGTTCCAAAGAGAAACAGCTTTTAGTAAAACCTTTGCATTTGAGGAGATTTTCAATGTCGATAAAATGTTATTTTAAATTATCAGGGGAAGGTTAGGAAGATACACCAAATGATAACAGTGGTTAGTAGTTAGTCCAAGTTGCAAGATGATAGTTTATTTTCTAGTTTGTGCTTTTCTATTGTTTAAAAATCGTGTGTGTATTTACTCTGAAAGGAATGTTAAATATCAAAATAAAATCAGATTATTGGGTCTTTGTGTCTAGAAGGGTAGGCTAATAATGATGAGGCCTAAAAATAGCTTACCAACAATTTTGACATAAATGAAAATCTCCAATAATGTTAGTTTTTTGTCTCATTCTCTCTCCTTTCTCCCCACCCCCCCCTTTCTAAAATGGAGGCTCCGGGTGGCCATGAGCTGAGCTGTGACTTCTGGGAACTGATCGGGCTGGCCCCTGCTGGAGGAGCTGATAACTTGATTAACGAGGAGTCTGACGTGGACGTCCAGCTCAACAACCGACACATGATGATTCGGGGAGAAAACATGTCCAAGATCCTGAAAGCACGTTCAGTGGTCACCCGGTGCTTTCGAGATCACTTCTTTGATAGGGGGTACTATGAAGTAAGAGTGTGTTCGTCATCTTTTGCAAACAAATACCTGCCATTTTTAAACTTAAATAGTGGCACTCACAATATGCCTTTATTTACTCCTCCTTTCCATTTGAACAGGTTACTCCTCCAACGTTAGTGCAAACTCAAGTGGAAGGAGGTGCTACACTCTTCAAGCTTGACTATTTTGGGGAAGAGGCATTTTTGACTCAGTCCTCTCAGTTGTACCTGGAGACCTGCATTCCAGCTCTGGGAGATGTGTTTTGTATTGCACAGTCATACCGGGCAGAACAATCTAGAACACGAAGGCACCTGGCTGAGTATGGAAATTACCTTTTTATTTTTATTAAAAACATTATTTTTAAGAAAATATGTTTAGAGAAGCAGTCTTTATGTAGGCAGATGATGACTATGTAAAAAAATCTGATAAGAGGGTGTGTGGAGGGCAGTTCAACAAATTAATGGAAGCCATGTATGAAGTTTTGCCTCCTAGGCCATAGCTAGCGATTTTCTCTTCTTTCACTTTGCCTTGATCCTTTTTATGTTAAGGAATAAACAAGAAATCACTATTCAAGGGGGAAAGGTAGGGGTTCTATAACTAATGTGCTGGATTGGGAGTTGGTTAGCGGTGCTGGAATTTTGCATTTCTGGGCAGTTTCACGATGTTAAAATCCATGCTTGAGAGAAACCTGATGGAAAAGAAGAGCGGCTCCCAGATAATGTCTTGTTCTTCAGATACACTCACGTGGAAGCAGAGTGTCCTTTTCTGACCTTTGAGGAGCTCCTGAACCGATTGGAGGACTTGGTTTGTGACGTGGTAGATAGAGTCTTGAAATCACCTGCAGCGAGCATAGTGCGTGACCTCAACCCGGTAGGTGTGCTGTTTATGCAAATGCAAAGTCATGATTTTTTTTTTTTTGGAAGGTAATGATGTCTTCACCCTCAGTTTTTGTAGATTTAATGGCTTAGTGAGCTTTGAAATAAGTGATATATATATATAATATATATAACATTTATATATATAACATATATATAACATTTATGTATTTTTAGATAAAATTGATATATAGCATTATGTTCGTTTCAGGTATACAGCATAATGATTTGATAGTTGTATATATTATGAAATGATTATCATAAGTCCATTACCAGACATTGATAAAATTTGTTCTTAGGATGCAACCTTCTAAGATCTACTCTGTTAGCAACTTTCAAATTTATAGAGTATTGTTAGCTGACTATATATATATGTATACGGTGCTTCACATTACATCCTCAGGATGGACTATTTTAAAACTGGAAGTTTGTACCTTTTGACCACCTTCACTCATTTCTGTACTTAATATTTTTAAGAGTAAAATTTGATACTAGTCATTGCCGATAATTTTATAATATCTTACATAGGAGGAGGTCATGTATATTTTCCATTTTTAGGAATGTCTTCGGTTTTCTAGTCAGGAATAACATTTTACATTAATGACAAATAGTTTTTCTTAAAATGGAAATTTTAGTGTTATGGTTTCTTTATATACACTCTATTTTTTCTTTCTCTTGTAGAACTTCAAGCCTCCCAAACGGCCTTTTAAGCGGATGAACTATTCAGATGCTATTGTGTGGCTGAAAGAACACAATATAAAGAAAGAAGATGGAACTTTCTATGAATTTGGAGAGGTATGCGTTGCTTGCTGTTGCCAGGGTGGCATGGCGCGTAAGTAGATTGCTACTCCGGTTAATGAACCAGTAATGCAGGAGGCAGCTGCTCTTTGTCAAATAAATGGTAACAACAGAAGCTCCTCCTTGGGGTTGTCTGAGGATTCACTGAGTCAACAGATGTAGAGTCAGCCTTAGAACAGTACCTTTCTGTAGTGTTCAGTAACGATTAGCATCGTCGCAGCCTGCATAGCTCATCTTGTACCTCTTTCCTCTTCTTCCGTGGTCAGTCCATGCTCGTGAGTTACTCTAGTGGTAACTCTCTAGGCTGGCAGGATGCTTCAAAAAGCTGTACACTTTACAGTTTCATGCAAAATGTTGATATGTATATATTCATTTTATTTGCCTGGAGAAAGTATCTGGCTCTTTCAAAAAGGCTGCCTCCTCTAAAGGAGTGTATTAAAACTCCTTCACGTGGAGAAGAGTCAAAGAGAAAATGGCTGTTGGTTAAAACGCAAAACCGAAAGAGAAGGCCTGGCTGGGGCAGGTGGTCTGGTGTCCCGGATACACAGAGCAGATGTATCGGACGTGTAGATTGTTGGCACTGTTAAGCCCTCTTCTGTGTGCATTTAACCATTTCTCACTTAGTATTTGCAAATCCATTTTATAGATAAAATAGGAGCAACTACCGCTAACTTGAGTTTTGTTTTATTTTTAGAAGGAATTTACAGAGAGAACAAACAGTACATTAGACCTATATAAATCATTCACCATTTCATGAATTCAGTTGGTGGTGTATAATAACAAAATTTTTTTTTTTTTTTAAGATTTTATTTATTTATTTGACACACAGAGAGAGCGAGAGAGAGAGAGAGAGAGGGAGAGAGCACAAGCAGGGGGAGCGGCGGGCAGAGGGAGAAGCAGGTTTCCTGCCTGAGCAGGGAGCCCGATGTGGGGCTCGATCCCAGGACCCTGGGATCATGACCTGAGCTGAAGGCAGCGGTTTAACCAACTGAGCCACCCAGGCGCCCCAATAACAAAATTTTGTATTAAAAATTTAAGAAGTGTTCTTACCTAAAACTTAGCAAAGTAGTGTGATGGAGTGGAAAGAGCCCAGTCTTTGGAGTAAGAAGCCCCCCTAGGTGGCTTAGCTCCCAGCTGTGTCTTTACTGCTGTATGACGGATGGCCAGCGACCCCACCCTCTGTTCCTTGGAAGTCACATCTGCTTTGCAAACTTGTGAGGATTCAAAGCTAAATTCTTGGCAGGGTCCACGGCTCAGGAAGCCCTTGATGCTTGTCAACATTTATTGTACGCTGATGGCATCCCATGCACATGAGGACACCAGAGTAAATGGTCTTCCGACTTCTTGGACTGTGCAGTGAGGCTGTTGCTCCCCAGTTAAATCTTACTCTAGTATGTAAAGCAGATAAAAGCTGAGAGACCAGAACTATCCCACCCATCTCCCACAGGCCTCCAGGGGCTGGGGCTTGATGGCAGCTGTGCCGGGTGATTGCTAAGCTCCATTTGGGTTCTTACATTAAACAAATCAATGAGTCTTGTCGAGTAGCCTCAGTCAGTTTGTACTGGGACAAGAGTTTTCAGTTTTAACTTGAGTTTATGTGTGGTTTACTGAAGGATATTTTGAGAGAGAAGCAGATTAACTTGGTTCGTCATCATCTAACATTTCTTGGCTAAGTATTCCAGGTGTGGTTACACTTAGAAATTTCACACTGGTTATTTGTCTTATGACTCTGTCTTACTTCCTATTGAAGCCGTATAGATTTACGTAACAGGAAAGAAGTACAGATAACAAGAAAGTTTAAAGATTGGTGTTACTAATAACACATTCTGTGCATAGACCGATGATGTTCTGGAGCATTCACTGATTATCTTATGCCTTATGGGACTAAGTGGACTACGTTTGCTTCAGAGCTAGATAAAACTGGCCACTGAAAAAAACAACTACCAGTATCTAGTCCCAGTGAATAATAGCTTTGAGTGGTTTGTTTTTTTGTTTTGGGGTTTTTTTTGGGGGGGGGTGTTTCATTCCTCAAGCAGCATGGTGCTTGAATTATACTGTAGAAGGAAGTGGATCTTTTTGCAGTTGGTTTAATAACTGAGTGTGAGTTTTAAAAATATCTTTATTGTTTTTGGAAGAAATTGTTGCTTCCACCCATGTGTACGGGTTGTGGATGGGTGTGTATTCTCTGCTATGCTACATTAATAAGAGGAAGGGCTGCTGGTGGGTGAGAGCTGCTTCTGTCTTAATGCCTTTTGAGTTGTAAATGTTAATGAAGTCTTGTTTAACCTCAGGATATTCCAGAAGCTCCTGAGAGACTGATGACGGACACCATTAATGAGCCCATCTTGCTATGTCGATTTCCTGTAGAGATCAAGTCCTTCTATATGCAGCGATGTCCTGAGGATTCCCGCCTTACAGAATCTGTCAGTTTGTGATTCAAACAGTATTAGTAATTTTGCTTTCTAAGGGGGTGGGGACTGCCACTGTAATAAGATAGAGTCATGGCAAATATTTCATTATACATCTAGCATGGCAGTATTTAAAGAAGTGGCTTTTGTCCTCTGATTGGGCTTAACATACATTGTTAAATTATAGGATTTGAATATTTGAATATTACATGACCATAGTTTAATGTGATGAGTTTATGAGTTTAAGTTATGAGTTTAATTGTGATTTTCCTTGAAACTATAGCCTGGTAGTAACTGCATTTTATTTACTTGTTTTTATAGGTTGACGTGTTGATGCCCAATGTTGGTGAGATTGTGGGAGGCTCAATGCGTATCTGGGATAGTGAGGAAATACTGGCAGGTTATAAAAGGGAAGGAATTGACCCCACTCCTTATTACTGGTACACAGATCAG